CTCCTGATGTGACTAACCAAATTTACACTGGTTTCCGTAACAGGCTACCTTTGACAACTCTGATCAGCTGGTAGGATTTTCAACAGGGATAGAAGGTATTGTGCTTCCTACCATTTCTGTTAAAAACTACAACACTCATGATTTAAGAAACATTGCTTTTGCCTTGTCCAGCTTTGCTTTTTTCAGAACGCCCACAGGAGCACTGCTAAAAAGTTAGTGGAAGACCAATAGCACTAATCAATGTCTGATTTTATTAGTCATCTCATCTTTAATTCTAAACATAAAAATGGTGAGGGACAGGGAGCTTCTTGATGGAGGACAGTCTTAATTTGTTTCCTACACTGAAGTCAGGGGGTGGATGCCTGGAGTGCAGGACCTGTACGCTATCATTCTTATAGCTCAGTGGCTCCCAACCTGTTTTTTTTGCTGCGACCCTAAATTTGGGTTGCGACCCCCGCTGCTGACTCACTCATTCCTGGAGGTACCAGCAGAGCCCAGGCGGGGCCGGGATTGCTGGGGGCAGCAGCCGTGAAAGTTGTGCAGACTGTGCATCGGGAGAGCCCTGCAGGTGGGCGGGAGGGAGTGAGGGGCAAACCAGTTGCAACCCTAATTTGGGTTGTGCCCCAAGGTTGGGAGCTACTGTTTTAGCTGGATCCTTTTCTAGGGATGGTTTTGAACAGGGAAAAGGAGGTCAAGAACTGGCCCCTCTGCCCAAAAAGAAATTTTAGGCCAAGACTCTTCTAAAGGTGATATGGGATTTGGGGAGATGCCAACCAACTGCAGCCAAAAAACAAGGTTTTTTTTTCCTCTCCTGGAGGGCAGAAATTCGGTCCTTTCCGATGACTCAGGAAGCTCAGGCTGGAGCTGTTAACAAGCCACCTCCTGGCCTGCGGCTCATCCCGGGCAGCGTCCCACAGGATCAGTGGGGCCGCTTCTCATGGGCTTTGTGCACAGGGCATCTGTGACCAGGTCTTAAATTTTCAATGATCATATTGGAAGCTCAAAATTATTGCATTTGCTGCAAAAACTATCATACAGAGAAACATATACAAATAAGTATGCAAACAAGTACGTCTATAAGGCTGCTTCTTATTCTTTACTTGATATTGCTCACTCTAACTCGCCAGTGGGTGCGTAAATGGTGGGTCATCCAAGCCGAAGCGTGTTTCTATTTTGAGGCAAGCGGCGATATAAGGCAGTGCAGACAGCAAGCCCAAAACTCAGGTAAAACTCCCCAAGAACGACTTGGTGTTTGCATGTGCTGCATCAGCGAGCTGCCTCAACAATTACCGTTCACCTGGAGCACTTTCAGTACCATGCATCCTGCAAGGGCTGAAGTTATCGGACAAACGCCATAACCAACGTGCACCCGCAACACGCGGGTGGCCGCGGCCCCTGCCGCAGCTTGACAGGGGGAGGAGCCTGGCGCCATCCCGCCCCGCCCCCTTCGCGCCCAGGCCCCTCGTGCTTCCGCTGCCTAGGCGGTTTCTGGGAAGTGACGCCACTTGCGGGGCCGGGAGTGACGTGTGGTGGAAGTGACGCGGTGTGCGTGCAGGCCCCGGACCGGTGGGGGGGGGTTTGGACAAGATGGCTGGATCCACAGGTCTGTGAGGGGTGGGGAGCTGGAAGGGGGCTGCCTCCCCGCCC